TGTTTGTTTTTTGTTTTTTGTTTTGGATGGGGCAGAATTTGGCATTTGCTGCGACGCCCAGACATTTAAGCTGGTGTTGCTTGCATGATTGCTCTAACAACGTTTAATAGAAATGGAATTAAACCTTTTTAAGGCAGGATTATATATCTGCATGTTGTGCTGAAATAAAGAAATACTTTGAAGTGGTGGAAATTAAATGTTTTCCTCTTTGAAAAAATAAATAAAAATGTTAATGCGCTGTAGAGGATAGTTTGTGCAAATCAAATGTGGACAACTGCTTTGGTATGTGAATTTTATTTATTTTCCTCTTGTGCATTTCACTTGTTAGTTGGTATATAACACAATTGATGAGCTCATGTTGTCAGTCTGTAAAAGCAGCCCTCGCATATATTAAACAACAAAGGTAGGACAGTTATCACAATCTTTTCACATGCAGCCAACAATTTTGTAAGAGCACCGATGAGTTGAAAAGCAAAGAAAGCCAAAGTATCAATATAAACTGGTCACAGAGTAAGATGTGACAAAGCCCTGCTCAGTGAGCAGTTTAAGGTGGATTATGGAGGAAAGATGTTTGAAGTTCACTTCTCAATAGGAAGGGTGATGCTTTCTGTGAGCTTTTGACAATGAAGAAAACTAACAAAGGAGTGACTTAATGGTCTGCTTTAGTGGTTTGAACATAGTGCATTATTCTTTAACAACTATGTCTGTTATACTCTGACTTTTAAAGTCAGTGTTTTTAAGTCTGTCTTTACAAACCCTGAAGTAACCAAACATTGAATTGAAATTGTATTGTAATGTGTATTCCATGTTAATGGAAATGTACTGATAGTGAGAACGGTCTGAATCCTTGGGTGGAGTCATCTACATAATCAAAGGCTTAACTTCTGAAGGGGCAGCTGTGCTAAAGCTCCAACACCCAAAAACGGGAAGAACCCAATCTACATATCAAATGTGCCCCTAGACAAAGCATGTATATACTGACTGCATTACCTAAAACTGGACAGATTATAAAGTTCCACTATATGTTTAATTCATAGTTCTCTCTTGCGAAAGCTTAACTTTATTTATGTAGTGCACATTTTCCTCATGAATTACATTTCAGCTGCAAAAATGTTCTCTATTATGTTACATTCCACTGATAAAAAAATGACAGTGGGCATCTTTTTAAATCATGAACACCAAGATAGCTCACTTGTACTTCCTGACCTCAGGTTTGCTCAGGTACTATGTGGCAGTAACAACCCAAAAAATCAGCTATGGGGTTTATTGCAGAGTTGTTAACCCTGGAACAATAATAGATCTAGTCAAGTGGCTCATAATGGCTTTGTCACTTGTTTTGTTTCTGTTAAATGTTGATGCATTTTTTTAAACCACCACACTGGCTTTTTCCAACGTGCATATTAAGTAAATATAAAATATGAACAGAACAGAGACTTGTTCTTTTATAGTTAATGGAGGTGGAACTCCAATCACATCATTTCTATTTACAAATAACTTAAATTGACAAAAAAAAAATGTTGAGCCATCTCCAAGCTTTAATATTCCCCTGTTGTTCCAAAGGACATAAGCACAGTTTACTGCATAAGGTCCACATCAGGACACTGAGCAAGGTTGTAATTGCAGTACTCTGTGGGATTACACTCTTCAAGAAACATGATGCAGATAAGGAAGTTTGGAGCTCTGGTGTATCAGCTAAGTCTGCTCAGAGAGAGCACCCCCACTACCTGGAAGCCTTCCAAAATGCTGCAGGCTCGATGCAAACTTTAACTCTGGTGGGAGTTAAAAGAAACTTTTAATTATCTCAGTTATCTTTAAGAACTATTTTAAAGCTTTCATTTTCAGTCTGGTATTTTGTAGTAGACAAGATGAAGCTCTGATAATGCGTCTTAGAGTCTCTATCTATTTTTTTATACTATATTAACTCTTATTTAAACTGCTTAAAAAACAACAACAACAACAAAACCAAGACCCGGTTGTATTAGCTGAAGTATACTAGATCCCCCCCCCAGGTATAGTGCTCCCAAAAATCACTGGAGAGAGCTGTGGGAAACTTGACTCCAGTCACTCCTAGTCAGATCACAGCAAAGATCACAGCATTGTTACTTCAAAGCAAGCTCTGTTCGAGGCCCACACACAGACAAGTCGGGGCAGCGTGGCACTTCATCTGGGACTCTGAGGAGCCTCTACTCCTTCAAACTTCAGCCGGGAAAGTTTGCTGAGGGAATAAGTGAACCTTATATATAAGTGAACAAGTGAATAAGTGAACCTTATTCCCTCAGCAGATGGAAGGACACAACAAGGAACCCATTGCTGTGAAGCTGTGGAGCCCACCAAGGGGACGCCTGTGCCCGGACCTCTCCCCCTCCATTGCCCTCTGCATTTCTCCAACCCACACACAGCAGTTACATCTGAAAATTTGCTAAAAGTAATAAGTAGCTCTCTGATTATATAAGTCAGTTTCATCCAGTGTAATACAACAAGTTAACACTTTCATATATTCCTAAAAGATACCTCAATTTTTCTCCACAATTTGACAATCATCCTTGTGGCCTTCAGGAGTCCAAAGTCAATTCAGTCATTCAGACTAGAGTGTTTTTGCACCACAAACCGGTTTATGTCCGACAATACTTTCAGGGACCGGCCTTTTAGGTGTCGCGGTTAAATACAACAAAATAAAACCAGTACTGGTGATACCAAGATAGATAAAACCTGTCTTTGGATCAATAAATATTTCTTCTTTATTAAAAAATAGTATGGTTATTTCATTTTGTTAGTTAGTTTTGGGCTTAAAAAGTGTGAGTATACCAGCGTTATCCAACTTCAAACACACACAAAAGGTCCTTTTTTAAGTATTGAGTACCAAAAAGAGTTAAAGAAATAATCAGTAAATAATTATCTAGATTTGTTATTGATGAATAGAATTGGAAATAAGTTATCAAATATTGTAAAAATGAAATTAATTCATATTTAATCATTTCTATATTTAATTAGTTATTTTCAATTTTAATTTATTAATGGCACATTTAGTATTTAATGATGTATTTATTTCTATTCTTTTGGCACTTGTGGCCCTCCATACTGTTCACGCCTGCACTCAGCCCACTTTGATGGACCAACTCTGAGCCGCTAATCAGCCAGTCTGTCATCATTGACTAATGCCTGGTTCCTGCTGTGTCTCCTCTCTTGAGTCTTGTAATCAGTCTAAATCCTTGTGATGTCTGTTTTCAAAAAAATAAAATTTGGGGGTGGGGTGCATGTTGTCACTCTGTCAGCAAAATAAAAGGATTTATAATAAAGTATCCTGAGAAGCCTAAGATATTGTGTACTTTTTTCCTGCATTTTAAAGTGTAGTCATAAGCACACCTTCCAGGTATCCGTGATGCAGAGAGTCAAGGTCAAAGGTATAACTTTAGGAGGAAGTATGTGAATTGTGCATGCTGTATAGAGAAGCTGAAATATGTAATAATGATAAAGAGTGAGGGAATTGCAGACATAAACACTAAAGAGACTAAAGCATCGTGGGTAATTGTTAGTACAGAGTTGCTGTACTAACTAGCTGCTGTGTGGATTTGTGAAATAAGGGGTGCGGGCTCTGGGGAAGACACGGGGCTCAGGGTACACAGGTATCCTCTTGAGACTCTGGATTAGCTGAACCCCTGCTGTGTAGACAAAGATTTTCCACTTATAGTCTGCAGGAGGAAAGGCCAGGAGACTCTTCCCTTTGTTGGGACCTGTGTGTAGGATGCATAAGGCTGCTGCTCCACTCTGAGGGGAACACTGGAGCGAGGACAAGCTCTGGTGTCCTGAGCAGAGTCGTTGGAGAAAAGGACCACTGAACTGAACAGATAGCTCTGGGGGTCCAGAGAGTTGAGAGCTTAGTGGTGCTGCAATGGTTAGCAGAAGAATGATGCATGTGTGGCCCTGCCAAGAGGTGACTTCTTTTTTTAAATGAAGACAAACACTGCATTTGGAAATCTCCAGTTGCTGTTACAAGCAGCTTTATTAACTATGCAAAAAAATATCAATGAATTAAAAAAAAAAAACAACAACAAACAAAAAAACCCAACAAAAAACACATGTTGGTTCGACTAAAAAGTTCAGTTAAGAAACAAGGAGACTGACAGAGGTTGCAGCACAGTGTGGAGCACTATTCAGTTACTCTAATTCTGTGATCCCACTCTACTGCACACAATTCAGCTACTTCATTTACTTCAGTACTACTCCCAGAGAAGCTACCAGGTAACCTACAAGGGACAGCAGGACCAGGGTTAAAATATCACTGACACAATCACTAAAATAACACAGAAAAAAAAGAAAAAGAAACAGTTAAAAAAAAAATCCAGTGTCACTATAGGTGATTAACTATCAGTTAATGAAGAACAAAAAAATATAGTAACACAACATAGTATTTACAATACAGTAAAATATGCCCGCTACCACAATGTCCAGCTAGCTTATCCTGCCTTTTCCTGAGAATTGTACCCACAATCCTCTGCATCAGGTTCACATACATCAAGAGAGGCAGAGTTCAGGGCACAATCTTGGGCACAAAAATGTGATGATGATTTCATAAGGGCAGAAAGATCTAAACACAGACAGGAGCAGTTCAAAGGATTTTTTACAACATGAAAATTTGGCAAAGGGGTTACCTTCAGAGCTACAAGGCTCACGGGTGATGGGGCTGGCAGGAAAGAAATCCAAGGTTTCTGAATCAAAGTCGAATTAAGTCAAAGTGGGTACTGGGTAAATCCTACTGAGCAGACAACACACCGGGAGCTCCCTGGAGACGAGACATTGCCTTTTTTCTGTGCCTGTCCTAGCTTCAAACGTGACCGCTAGAGAGGGCAGAACAACCTAGTGAAAATCAAGGGGACAAACGGTTTCTTAACTATTCCAGGTGAGTGGTTTTCTGGTAACCGCAAATCCAAAGGCATCTACAAATGACTGAGCACACAAGAGGAAAGATGTAGGGAGGGAGAAACAGAGGGTGGGGAGAAGGATTACAACCAAAAACCTCGAGCATCATGCATGAATGCTGGTACAGATGTTGCATAACTGCCATGTGGGGTGGCGTAATAAGAGGCACTGGGTCTGGGGAAGACTGTGGGCTCAGGGTAAGTAGGTATCGGCTTGATGGGGTGAACAGCTCCACATCCAAAATAACCTCTGCCATCGGCTAAGTAGATGGGGGAAGTTACAGCTGCAGTTTTTAGGGTGAGAGGCCCCTCAGAGTCCCCGCTGAAGCTTCTCTTTGTTCCAGCTTGTTTGGACGGTGTATAATAAGGCGACTGTTTCACTCTGAGAGGAACACCAGAGAGAGGAGAAGCTCTGGGGTTCTGAGCAGAGTGTTCATCAGTTTTTAGGAGGGAATCAATGGAGAAAGGACCTCTGAACTTCACCTCACGCTGGATACGAACAGATCTGCGAGCTTCAAGTTCATGGGAGCTGGGAGTTGCGCAATGCTGCGATTGTTTGCTCCGGTTCTCCTTTTGCATCTCGCAGGCCAGATCGGGGAAGAGCTGCAGGATGCCTCCGAAGTGCCGACGTCTCATCTTCGCTGTGATCTGAGTCAAGTCCAACTTCCAGTAGTTTCTCTTACTATTGAGTGAATATGGCACAATTGGAACCTGAAAAAAAAAAAATCTCAGTCAACTGAACAGAAACTTCCTTCTTGAAGTAGTTCTTACAACATCATTTATTAAATATGTAAAATCTTACCTTGACAAAACATTTGTTTGTTGATAAACAAACTCTGACGTTGTTCTCAATAGATTTTCGATCCTCAGAGAAGAACAGGGTCAGCTTGTCCATCAGCTGCACATACACCACAATGCAAGTTAGTGCTTGACATGTGAAAGACATTACTGTTGAGCATAGCAATTTCAAATCCCCACTATCGTATTTTTTTAGATTCTCCTAATGAGGTATTTAGAGAAAAAAAAAAAGACCCTTCCTGTCTGACTGATTGGGAGGAAAAAAAAGCCAATCCACGACCTCTTGTCTGTTTTATTTACATGCAGCTTTATTTCTACTCTTTGCCTATTTCCAGTTCTACTTTCATTTTGAAGCAAACAAATTTCTGGTCTAGTTTCTTGCCATTGCACTCTCTTTTTTTATAGCATTTCCTTCTGCTGGTTGCAAGCAACCACCCTTCTGTTTCCTGTTTACATCAGCACACACAGGCAGTGTACAGCAGCAATCAACATGATAGCAAAGAAAAAAAGGTTGCAGAGTGCAAATAGCTTTGTAATTCTGAATCTTTGTTACCTGAGTAAAGGTGAGCATCTTGTCTGGAGCATCATGAAGAACAATGGCAATCTTAGCCAGGTAGGTGGTGGTGTTGCTGAGCAGAGCCATCTGAGCACTGCTGGCTGGATCCGAGAGAGACAACGGAGTGCCCAAGTTCCCTGTCTGGTTCTCCATCTCGTTTGCTGGAGAGTAAAGCGCTGCACAGGAGAGTGTTGTCGCAGTCCTCACTTGGTGATGATGTGTACCTGAAGTGGTCAGCCCAGGCTATATGTCTCGCTGGAACAATTCATTAGGGCGTTCCTGACGATCGCCTTTTCATGTGAAGACGAGTCGTTAATGTTGGAGGTGCAGCCACTGCGGGAATCCTAAATGTGAATAAAGCCATCAGGATGTCCATGTTCATGCTTTAGGAGATTTCTTAATTTTCTTACTGATTTGAGGCCTTCTTGTTCAAGACATCAAGTAGAGACTGTCTATGATGAATGTTTGAATAATCAAAGTTTGCTGAAGACTACATCTTTAGAGGCTTAAACAACCCTCCTCGTTAACAAATATAAAGACCGAGGCTGTGTGGGTGAGGTGATATCATTGTCACTTCATTAGTTAAAATGGCTCACTATCACAAACAGTGTGTCTAATTTGAATGTGACTAGAAAGAGTCTGAACTTACATTCCAGCGGTTTACGACTCGGGTGGGAAGAAATTCTGGGCCTCTGACACATTTAGGTCAGTGCACTCAAAAGATTTCTTCAGCACTAACACAGTTTTTATTTCTACATGAATTCATGTTAGATGACAAAGATTATGTTAATGCTATTAAATAACCTTTCTTAATACTAATAATTATAACAGTCATCTGCTTATCCCTATTGTCACTTTGTGAGAGGGGTGGTACTTCCAGGGCAGTTTCCATACCTTTACAGAACCAAGACAAGGAGACGACAACATTTCACACTTACAGTGACACAAATTTTGAATGAACAAATAACCTATTATGCATGTCAACACAACACAGACTGCCTTAAGGTTTTAACCCGGCAACAGTGCTAAATGGTGCACTGCTGTGCAATCCATTCAATTTATTATCATAGACATTTAGAATATTATCTAATATAATATTTCTCTCTCCTCCTGTCATTGTCCCCAAACCCCATCACCATAGAGACTACACCATAGAAACAAAAGAAAGGCAAAACAAATTAAACATTCAAAATTCACAAAGAAAGACTCATAATACCCCGAACTACACCTAAATAAATTAAAGGTGGAGTATTAAACATTATGTCACAGTCAGTGGATGCAGACTGTGTGGAGTGGAGAATCAAAAAGTGTAGAAACAAACTTAACATTAACTGAAAGCGAGCCATTTATTGAAGGCTGGTTTTAGCTGCATGAAACAAGACGCAAAGGCAAAACTAAACACTTAGTTCACCCAGTTTAGGTTAAGGCTAAACATAAAAAACCTTGAACATGAACATGGAAATCCTGACATGAAAAACCTGAAATGTGAAGACTTAGCATGAGTACGTGAAAACCCCGGAGAGCATGGCAGAATAGCAGGACAAACAGACAAGGAATGAATAACACACAGACTAAATACACACATTTAGGTGATCAGGGGAAGTGGAAACACACAGTGGAAACAGCTGATTAGCTTGAACATAATGACGCCACAGTGGAAGTGAAACTAGAAACTGAACATGGAAACACCAGACTCTTCACAGTAAAACAGGAAACATAATGAGACACAGACATGAAACACATGGCAGACTAAAACATGCAGACTTAACATGACAAACTGACGAGGAACACGCACACTATAAACACACAGAGAAAAAAAACGGTACTGGAGATGAGACAGACATAACCAAAACAGAACATAGCTGCGGAAAAACACACATGATGGGCGGAAATGAGCACGAGGGAAAACATGAAAACAAGAGGAGAAGATGGGAGACAACGACATTACTGAAACACATGAAGGGCACAGAAGACATAAACACAAGGGGTGAAGACACAAGGAGAATCTAATAGATAATAAACTATAACAGGGGAAGGCAGGCAAAATAGAAATGAGCTTAGATTACTAAATGAGACTTAAACATAAACAATGAATATCAAAATATAAGAAAATGTAATACACTGGGTCAAATGACCCAGGACCGTGACACAGTCTAAGTTTGTGTTAATATGATTTAATAATTGATCAACACAGTGATTTACTTGGCCTTTCAGAGACTTTGTAATAGCTGGATGAATATATGTTAGTTGAAATTAATCAACACCCCCAAGTTACCCAAGTTATACTATCAGCATCCTGGACGTGCAGGCTGAGGAGGAGTAGCAGCAACCTTTCACTCCATCTTATTAATTAACTAAAGACACAGTTTTAATTCATTCATTAATTCATTCTCAACTCTAATAACTACTGATACTTACTTCACTTTCTCTTTGATCAATTTCCCTCTAAACCACCAGTGTGCTTTCTCGATGCCATTCCTACAAGACGTCTCAAAGAGGTTTCACCATTAATTAATGCTTTAGTTTTAAGTATGATTGATCTATCTTTATTAACAGGCTATGCACCACACGCTTTTAAAGTAGTGGGAAATAAAAATCTTGCACTCGATCCAAAATCTTTATTTCAAAAATTCTTCAAAGAGTAGATGTCAGACAGTTAACGGATTATTTGCATTTAAATACATCACTGGACAGAAACAGCACTAATAAAGGTTACAAATTATATTCTTATGGGCTTTAACAGTGGACTCAGCTTTGTGCTTGTCCTGTTAGACCTCAGTGCAGCACTCGATTCCACCAATCACAAAGATTTGGCGCAGAGATTAGGTGTTAAAAGAAATGCGGTAGTCACAGAGTTCCCCAGAGTTTTGTTCTTTTTAGTTTCTTTCTGTTATTGCTATAATAAATAAAGCTACATTTAATTGAATATGGTAAAAGTAGCTTCTGGATAAAAAATTTTCACCTAAATTCTGATGTAAATTCAGTGTATATTTATTCAAATTAACCACAACCAGCGCCTTGGCTGGGTTGCGTGGACAAGGATGTACGACTATGAAATACCTGAAACAATGACCTCAGGTTATACCAGTGAAGATGACTCTGTGTTAAAACCTTCTTTATTATTAATAAAGGAATAACTCTAAGAAATGTCGTGAATTAGTCAGCTGAGAATTTGCACTTTTTTACTAGTAGAAACCCTTTTTTTATTGCTCTTTCACAACAGAAGGACATATTTTATTGCCTCTTATTGTTTCTGCCAATGCTTCAGTCCCTCTCTGAATGTAACTGGCTGTATCAGAATTGGTCTGTGTATGCTGCTGTCCCTCATGTAATTGTGAATGTTTCAGTCTAACCTAAGTTTGTTTTCTCCAAATTATATTTTTTATCTTTTCTAAAATACATGTGGAAATCTTGAGAGTCAGCGGTGTTTTACAGATCCCTCGGTGAATCCGTTCCTTGGACCAGACCCCAGAGCAGTTTAGCACACCTTTAATCAGAGACAAGTGAAAACACATGGGTCAGGGTTGCGGCCTTACAACCATCCACCAGAGTAAAGCTATAATCCTGCTTTCAGTACAGGTCATGGGTGGAGGAATCTGAAAAGGGGTCGTTGATTTAAATAACGACTCTGGAGCAAAAGGCTGCTGGTTTGACGTTAAATGAGAGGTGCAGTAAATTGTCCTGTTAGCATGCGAATAGATTGTTTATTGGTTTGACAACTTTACTCGATTATTTATTCTGTGTAATTGAACCACCAGCGTGCATGTGGTGTGTCTCAAATCGACTTTAGAAACTAAACTAAGTGTAAGGGGAAACGACTATAGGTGAGGGGAAGATTTTCTAAATTCTAAAATTAACCTTCACCTGCTGGAAGGCACCTGCTTCTACGTTGAAACAACTTTCAAAGGGAGTTCTGTGCTGCCAGGTTTGTATTTAATTAAAAGGTTGGCTACTTCTGAGGCGACGCAACGTGGCGAAGACAAAAAGAGCGTTTCAATCTAACCAGAGCATTTCAATACAGTTTCTGTTCACAATTTAATTTACTCAACACATTTTTGTCAGGTTTTAATTTCATGTTACTTATGTCATTGCAAAATTAAACATTCTTCAAAACAAGACAAATTACTTCAAGTTAGTTTTTTCTTATCAAGAAGAATTAGTTATTTGCACAATTTCAGTGTTACACTAATGGCAAAAAATTGTATTTTCCTTTTGTCTAATTTTGCTGATTTGGTTGAGGTCTGAAGTTTTAACAGTTCTGTAAATGAAAAGTTTAATATTAAATGTTTGCTGAAGTTTATGAATGTTTCAGTGAAGTTTAATAAAAGCTTCAGAGCTAAGCTAAAATGCCGGGGGGGAAATCAGCATGGAGCCAGACTGACCTGGTTTATCATCTTACAAAAACATGCTCATTTGCCTGAAGTTGTCCACCCTGAAATCCCCTTTTTGTTCCAGAGCTGACCGCTTCATGTGCAAACTGGTAAAGTTTATGACGACACTGAAGGGGACTCGACTTGACTCTCCAAAGAAGATGCAGAACAAAGATGAGAAGTCTGGAGATGACAAATCTCTGACTGATCTATGTAGCCCTCGGAGTGCGTTCTGTAGCAAAAATATCACTTACCTGGCTAAGCTCGCCATCCTTCTCCAGTATTGTCCACATAAGATGCTGACTCTTACTCAGGTAAGAAATAAGTGTGGTGTTTATTGTTGCTGCTGTTATGATAAATGCAAACATCCAATATGAAACACAAGTTTCCATTTTAAAGCCTTCCACTTTTTGTAGATAAAAAACAAGATTTCAGTGATTGATAAGGATGAAAGGACTGCTTACAACAACATCTGTTGGTATTTAACAGGTTACAAATGTTTCGTCAAGGTAAGCATCTTTTCCAAAATTTATTTAAATCAAACACACAAAGGGCTGTAAATAAAACTCATGTGTATTGTTTGCTTTTCAGATTCTAGTTCCGGGCACAATGAATCGTGAGCTTGTGTACTGGACGCTGGACTGCAGGGAGATAACAACAGAGATGGTGCATGAACACTTCTTGGAAATTCTCCATCTCTTCCCTGTTCTGGCCTCCAGACTGGAGACCAAGAACCTGAGCTGTCCGCCTAGGCCTCTCCACTCTCTAGAGCCCGCACCACAC